TGTATACGCTCAATCTCAGCTCTCACTGAACCGATTTTGATGAAAAATATGTCAAAAGATCACAAATCGTATCTAGTTGAATACATTACCCTCAAAAATTGAAAAAAAATTCCCTCGTATTACAAATTTAAAAATCGCTAATTTTCGATATTTTTTCAATTTTTTTTACTTAAAATTGCCATAACTTTTTTAAAAATGATCGAATCAATATAATTTTTTTTTTTATAGATACCTTAAATATTTACCTATCATTTTATATATTTTTTTTAACATTTGACCCTTGACAAGCCCACAGGAAGGGGTTTCAAAATGGTAACTTTTTTAAGTTAACTTTTGAAAATGTTCCGGATAGACTGACACTTTTATANGGCTAATTTCCTGAAGGACTGACACTTTTATATATACCTTAAATTAAAGCTAATGTAATATACTTTAATCTGAAAAAAAAAAATTTGACCTCTGGACTTGTCTTCATGGTGAATATGACTACCATATTCAAAAATATGCTATTTTTGTGTTAAAATTCTGGGATTTGTATTTTATTTTATTTTAAAATACCTGACAAGGGGAGTACAGATTTTCATAAATATTATATAAATTAAAATTAATATAGTATAGAAAGTTAAACTTATTTAAATTTGTTTGCTTCATTTAAATCAAGAAAAATAACTTTGAAATTTGAACTAGCTTAAATAGCCAATTTTTTCATCCAACGGCATCGACGTACGGTTGCCGAGTTGGTAAAACTTATGTGTTACACGCTTGGGGTAAGAGGTTCCAACCCGCGTATGGCAATGAATATTTTGCATTTTTTTTTAATTCTTTTTATGTTAGTATAAATTTTTAACTCGTTTGATTTTTATCTCATTTAGATTCAATAACTTCAATAAAGATCAAGGATCCCATCACTTTAGTCGCCCCTTGCAAGAAGAAATTTCTTATTCGTATTAAAATTATTTTACTATATTTTAAGTTTTAGCTTCGATACAAAGCTGAGGAGATATTTTTTTGTGACTATCATTTATTTTCTCTGCTCTAACTTGACCTACTTTTTTCAACAATACGTCAAATTACTACAATTCGTATCTAGTTGAAGATATTACTCTCAAAAATTGAAAAAAAAATTCTAATTTATCAATTAAACAGTTAGTTATTACATCGTCTCCATAAAGACAATTAAAATCATTAATTTCTAATGTTTTCAAAATATTTATTAACGAATGAAGTTTGATATGATAGGTTTCAACTACAAAATTAAATCATTTTACTTTGTAATTTAATAATTTTTTTACTCTATTTGTGTGTGCTACTACTAGACTATAATATTACAATTTTTTTTTGTAACATGTTGCTATATAAATCATTTCTAAAAAAAATGATTGTTTTTTCTCCTGAATTAACAATTGATTTTTACAAATATAATCAAATTTTATAATACACTCAATTGAGTAAATCTTTTTAACAACTTTGTTTTAGTTAAAGTAAATCATTAAAATTTATTAAGTTCTAAATATTTCAATTGCAGAATCTTTTCAAACACCGAAAGTTACTAGGAAATTATTACTGTTACTTCTATTTAAGTTATTAATTATCATAAAAATGCAAAAAAATATTGAGCTTTTCTGATAAATTTACAAATTGTAAATTACAATAAATAGTAATTATAAAACTTTTTGACTGCATATTGATTTTAACAATACAATTTTTTTAATTGTCATAAAATTTTCTATTTACTGATGTCAATGTCAAACTTGCCAATTGAGCTAAAAGTTATAGTAAAATAAATTACTTTTTTTTACTATAAATATTTACAACAATCAACTTTAAACGATTAACAAAATAGGTTAAATATGTCATTTTCCTTATTTTTAACATATTAATAATCAAAATCAGTATTAATTTAAAACAATTTTTTTTGTTCTTAATTATTTTTTTTTATATCTAAATACTATTTTTTAATAATATTAAAACTTAGAAGTTATAGAAAAAGTCTAATTGCACATTTTAAAACATCGCGAAAAGTTGATTTAGAATAGTATATTTTTGTTTCTGATGGAAGTTCCTTGTAGTCCAGTGTATAAAACTTATAACTTTGTTAACTGTTATAACTTTATCAAAAATGACCAAATCAGTATATTTTTTTTTATTTAGATGCATGTCTTTATCTATCATTTGGTTTTTTTTTATAAATCTAACCCTTTACCTGCCCACAAGAGGGATTCAAAATAAAAACTTTTTTTTTTTAGTTAAAGTAAATCATTAAAATTAATTCAGTTCTGCATATTTCAATAGTAGAATCTTTTTAAATACCAAAAATTACTTAGAAATGATTACTATGATTTCTATTTAAGTGTTCTATTACGATAAAAATGCAAAAAAATAATGAGTTTTTCTGATACAATATACTGTAAATAGTAATTATAAAATTTCGTGACTGCATATAAATCTTAAAAATAACATTGTTTTAATTCTAATAAAATTTTCTATTTAATGATTTATTCTAGTCAACGAAGGAGTAATTTTGGAGAATAGCAGAAAAAATTCCCAACCAACCAATTTTTTTTTTTTTTTTTAATAGGCAATTGGTGGATTATTCCAAAAGCAACATCAACTCTTATTTCTTTAATTATATCCTGATTAGTAGTTCTTTGATTTTAAAATATAATATATGAATAAATACTAATTATAGTTTTTAAATTTAGTATGAAATTGATATTTAATAATTTAATATTGTAATTTAAACGGAAAAATTATAAAAATAATAAAGAAGTTATATTTTGCTTTACTTTTACGTGTATAAAAATTTAAAGGGCTTGATACAATAATTTTCAATAAAAACTGTTTGTTACTATAAAAAAATGCACTGGACTACAAGGAACTTTCATCAGAAGCAAAAATATACTTTTCTAAATCAACTTTTCGCGTTGTTTTCAAATCTGCAAGTAGACTATTTCTATCACTTCTAATTTTTTATATTATTACTAATTATATATATAAAATAATAATTAAAAGAAAAAAAAATTTGTTTTCAAATTATTACTGATTTGATTTTTAATATGTTAAAAATAATCAGTCCAAATTTTCAATTTTAACCTATTTTTTTGGTTCTTTAAAGTTGATGAAAAATTTTTGATAAAGATTTATGAAAGTTTATAGTAAAATAAATTGAATATATTACCATAACTTTTAGCTCAATTACAAGTTTAAAATTGACATCTAGGCCAGTCAACAAAGGAAAAATTGCGGAAAAAATTTTGTTTTTTTAAAAGTTGAATTAAAATATGTATAATGACATACTAATAGTCCTCATTGATTGAAATTGAGCTTTTTTTTTACAGCCTCGCAAAAGTTCAAAAATATGAGCTTTTTTAATTTTCTCAACAAATATTTAACTTACAAAAAAAGTTTCGTACAAAAGTTGTTTAAAAGATAATTATAAACAAACAAATTATCTTATATTTTTTCATTTAAACAAATATTTTTCGAGTTACATTACATTTAATATGAGTAATAAAATTTATATTCCATTTTTTTCATTTTACGGTTACTTTTTATCATGCATGTTATACATTAGACACAATGTTATAAATGCATACGTGTGTATGTGTGAGTTTATTTATTTATTGTATCATTTAAGTGTGNTTTATTTATTTATTGTATCATTAAAGTGTAGTGTATATTAAGATACAACCGATAGAGTAGGTAATTGATTTGACACTATATTGTTTAAACCCAACTAAACGCTAAATTGTACATTCCCAAACAACAATCATATTATGTCAATTGCCACCGGAATTTCTGGTAAACTTTTTCTTTTTTTTGCCTTAATCCCAACTACTTGGGGTTGGCCACCCTTATCCTAAGATTCCACTTGACACGGTCTCCCACATCTTCTACGCTCACATCAGCTGTCCTCAAATCGCATTCAATAGCATCCCTCCATCTCTTTTTTGGTCTTCCTCTATCTCTTCTTCCTTCAACATTCATTTCTATAACTGTTCTTACAGCTTTCGATTCTTCTTTCCTCATACCATGACTAAACAATCTAAGTCTATTTTCTGTCATCTTATCCACGATTGACGCAACACCTATACTTCCTCTTATATGCTCGTTCCTTATCCTATCTTCTCTAGTCACTCCACTCATCCAACTAAGCATTCTCATCTCTGCTACACTTATTCTCTGCTCTACTTTCTTATCAACCGCCCAACACTATGAACTATACATCATAGCTGGCCTCACAATTTCATACTAAATTTAAAAACTATAATTAGTATTTATTCATATATTATATTTTAAAATCAAAGAACTACTAATCAGGATATAATTAAAGAAATAAGAGTTCATGTTGCTTTTAAAATATTTCACCAATTTCTCTAAAGGAAACACTATCTACAGATTTGCATCGAAGCGTTTCTTATGATAGTGATTTTAATCACTGTCAGATATCATCTATACTTGTCCCATCTATGCCTCATCCACACTGTGCCTCGACCCCACTGTGCTACCGTTTTTTTCTATTTAATAATGTCAAGTTCAAACTTGCAAGTTGAGCTAAAAGTTATGATAATAAATTCATTTTTATTTTTATTAGAAACTTTCACTTTAAATGACGAAATAAAGTAGGTTAATAATTATTACTTTTAACATATTAAAAATCAAAATCAATAATAATTTGAAAACAATTCAATATAACAATTATATAATATAAAATTTTATATTATATTTTTGAATCTAAGAATTACTAATCTGAATATAATTTAGGATATAGTTGATGTTACCTTTGTAATTATCCACCAATTTCTTAGAATTAAACATTATCTACAGATTTGCATCGAAGCGTTTTTTATGGTAGTGATTTTAATCACTGTCAGATATCTATACTAGACCCAACTATGTCACGACCCCACTATGCTGATTGTTGTTTAATTGAACTGTGAATAATTTTGTATAATATAAACAATTTATAATTTTATTATTAGACCAAGTTGCAGTTATACTTTGTATATAATTCATCAGAATTGATAAAACTAATGATATTTTATTATGATAAAACTATAATCATAAAGGATTAAATGGATTTTTAATTATCCAACAAAATATAATTAATTTCATGATGTATTTATAAATATTAATACATTTTCTAGTTGACAAACGATTCCTTAGTTTATAAATTAATTCAAACTATCAACAATTATTAAATAACAATGTAACTACTGTACAACATGATCATTATAATAGTTCAGGAGTTTAAAAAAAATAAAACTCTATTTTATGTTGTCCTTCATGTAGATTGATTTTCTTTCTCTTTTCTGTAATATAAAAGATTAAATTATTATATAAAGTTATAAATTATATAAAGTAAGGTTATCAACATAATTTTATTTAAGAATAAATACATACTGTTGAGTAGTCCATAAATCATGTTTATTAATAAGCAAGAGTAACATTAAGGCTGGTAAATGAATGAGAGAAAACCGAAAAAGTTTTCGTGAAGTTTTACTATCTGACTCTTGATAAAACTTCCAAGCTAAAAAAGTAAAAAATTGATTATAATTATAAATAATCACATATAATAATAGAAATAATCATAGCTATCTGGATAGTGACAAAAAAAGTGATTATAATAAAAGAAATATAAATTTTTTTTTTACGGACATTCAAAACATCATTATCTGATTTGATAATTATTACTATTATAATTTAATAATAGTAAATATGGAAAATGAATGCTCAATTATTATTTTCTATTATTTTTTATGTACAATAATGGATTTTTAAAATTAATTTTACATATATAAAATGTCACTTTTTATTTAACTCCAACAAAAATAACTGATAGTTTTTAATTAAAAATAATATTACCTAAATAAGTAAAATATAAATTTAACGGCGCAACAGTAATAGAAAAGTACACGTTGGTTAAATTACATAAAGGAGCTAAACTACATAAACCAGTTATCCCAATTGTGTAACGTAATGCTGTTCTTCTACACAACCCTGAAAATAAAATTTAGAATTAAATTTTATGCATAAACACAGTGGAAGTGATTTCACTGACAACTATTATAACTTAATTCAACTTAAAATATTTACTTCAACGAATAAATGAGCAGCAGTAAGTTCACAGAAATTTATTTAATTGTAGTTTTAATTATAGTCTAATAATTGAAAAATTATAAAATATTCAATGGATATCAAGTTATAAGAGTTATCAGTTTGTTAGTCATCTGATTTATGCTGTCAATATATGTATTTTTTTGTATTACCAGGATTAGTAACAGCCATCATTCTATAACCTGCTCTAGAGTAATCTGGTCGTAAATTCCATGATAAGGCGTTGAAATGTGGAAATTGCCAAGCATATAATAAACCAGCTAACAATAAGCCACCAGAACCTATAGTACCTCCAGTGCAACCTGCCCATCCCATCAATGGAGGAATTGCACCCACTTATAAAAAATACAATTTTGAATCAATATTTTTGGATAAAAAAATATTAATCGAACTAATATATAATAATAGATATTAATAAACATTAAACTTAAGAGTTGTAAAATTATACATGCCTTAAAGAAAATAATGCTAATATTAGTATGGATCAGAGATAAAATATTACAACACTGTAGTACTGTTAATAAATTCAGTAGCATAACTTAAACAATAAATCAAAAATCAAATATTAAGAGAAAAAGAATAAGAAATATGCTTTTAACGTAATTCAAAAATGTATAAATTCTATAAAAATAAAAGTAAATCAAAATATTAGCTACATCAAAAGTTATTAATTATGTCAGTACATGGGATATCCTGCATATTGAAAATATCAAAATAATGAGTGTAATTCATTGAGTTTATTAAATATTTTAAAGCGTACTGAATAGTCATTTTAATAAACCAGCACAGTAGGGACGTGGCATAGTGAACTCCAGTATAGATTGAATCTGACAGTGATTAAGATCATTATCATAAAACACTGTTGCAAATGTACCCATTAAAATAAAATAAAATATTAGAGGAGGTTGGATTAGTCATTCAATATCCTTCTCTTTAAGGTCTATGAAGTAAGTAATAATTTGTTTAATTTAGATAAATTTTTGTAAAACATTACAAATAGGTTTTTTGAATTGTGCAATTTCAATCTAAAAATTGTACTTAAATTTTGATATTTTATTTATTTTTTAAAGATATCAAGATTTCCATACCATTTTTAAATTTTAAGAAATAAAAAGCTTTATTAATCCACACAAATCGTCATATTAACCTCCTCATTTGGGCAAGTTAATGAACGGATTTATAAAAAAAGTGTATTTGACATATAATGCATTCCACCCCAAAAAATTGGTCTCAATATACATATATCACATAAAGTTACAGAAATATTAAGTTAAAAATAAAAAATATTTTGGCCATTTTTACAAAAAAGTTGTATGTTTTTTAATAGCAATTTTCACTTTGTCCTAATGACTAATTTTTTTTTGATCATTAAAAAAATATTTAATATATTATATTACATATGCTTTAATATAAGATATATTTAAAAGTGTTGGGTTTTCCAAAACATTTTCATAAATTAAGTTTTAAAAGTTAACTTTTCATATAAAATTTCTATTTTGAATCTCATTGTGGGCAGGTAGTGGGTTTGTTTTTTAAAAATAAATATCTTGGGTATTCAAAAAAAAAAAAATTATTTCCATTTGCATATTTTCGAAGAGGCATGACAATTTTAAGCTTAATAAGTAAAACAAACAACATTTGACTATTTTAAAAATTATAATTTTTTGAAGGATTTCATCCATTTACATGGAACTAGGGAAATGTTTTTAAATTTTAGCTATGATGGGTGAACTAGATTCAATTTGTAATTTTTTGACATATTGTTTAGCAAAATTAATCAAGTAGGTGCTTGATGTTCATTAACATAAAAAAAAACATATTGTAGGAAAAATAATACCTACTCAGTTTCACGTCAAAGCTAAAATATGTTTAAATACTACTTGATTCAAATAAAAAGTTACTAAATTGTTACCTATAGATCCAATCCAAGTATTAGCAATACTTATTCGCTTCATTGGTGTGTAAATAGAAGTATATAAAACTAAATTGGCTGCTCCTAAAGCAGCTGCAACAGGATTTACTCCATAATATAAGGTAACTAGGCCTAATGATCCACTTACAGTTGCAAACATAAGAGCATGTAGAGGTCTAAACGTTTATAAATAATTAAGAACTCAATTATCTTAATTGATTAAAGTAACTATCATAAATTTAAAAAAAAAAATGTATATTACTTACGATAATATGCCTTTGACTAATACTCTATTTTTTGTTCTTGACATTTGGGAATCAAAAGGAACTTCATGGTACTGATTTATAGAATTAGCAGCTGCAGATACTAAACCAGTACCAGTGCAGCAGAGAACCATTGTAGCTATGTCAAATGGAGCTGGAGCCATTGTATAACCAGCTAATGTAGTCATAACAACTAGAGCTATTTATTATCAATTACTAAATGTTCATACATCAGTAAAATTAAATTAAATACATACATGTTAATCGACTTTTAGATAACTTCAAATAATGTAAATGAATATCATTTAAATTTATTCTTGTTTCTAACCATTCTGTTTTTATTAAGTTTTTGCCATTTACATCAAGAATAGGTCCAATTTGTAGTGAATCTGGTCTTATACTCGGTAATATTGTAAGGTTTTTTTCTGATAAAATTGGTGGTGCTGCTGCAGATGGTTTTGGTTTAAGCGATGATTGTGAAATCTAACAAATAATATATAACAAATATTTAAAACTAAATTTTGTTAATATGAAATAAATATAGTTTTGTAAACGTCAATTACATTGCGTATGACCGCGCAAACCATGCACTTGGATAGTTTAACATGATTTGTTATAAGAAATTTCTTTCGCATAGTACAAATTATCATTAATTATTCTATTTTTGTTATTACATTTAAACTAATAAAAACTAGAAAATAAAACGGCTGAAGACAGCCAAGGTGGAGTAACGTTTAACCTAGAGAACATGATTATAAATGAAATTATTATTTTAAGCTGTTATCATTTAAGTCATATCTTTAATTTCAAACGCCATCTATACATATATGATAGAGGTTACACACTTAGTTTTTAATTTAATCAATGAATGATGCTGAAATACTATTATTGTGGAGTTGGTACGATATTAATAATGATAGTAACATGAATTTTAACCCTATACATAATATCCTCCCACTAATTTTTTACGATCGTAAAAGTGATAACTAAGTAGCGGTTTACGCGTACTAAACATACCGCTACTGTTGCAGTGTACGCGTTCTGTCGTGCGTGTCGCTGACGTTCGTTTGACCATTAATGAACTTAACATTTTATAAAATCTTGACCGGTCATTGCATGTACTTGGCAGAAATTATTTTAAACTTAATTGATTATTTTTTTTGAAGAATAACTCTCAAATAGTTTTTTATTTTTTTAATGCTAGAACTACTCAAGTATGACCATTTGAACTGAAGCATTATTTATATTAAAAAAATTATTAATCGGATTTCAGCACATATCTACACATTCTAATTTAAATTATTGGTAAGTGTTCGTGAGTACAATTCTTTATTATTCAAATTTTGTTTCTCTAGTACTTGTTTTGTAGATAAAATTAATTAAATAACTAAAACCCTATTGATTGAACCTTATTCACATTCGAAACAATAATAAACTATTTATTAAATCATTATTGTAAATATCACCTTCATTTTCTATTTGTCATATAATGATGAATGAACTNTAAATCATTATTGTAAATATCACCTTCATTTTCTATTTGTCATATAATGATGAATGAACTGCTAAGTAGTTAGTTTCTTTGTAATTTTAGATTGTTAATAAAATATCAACACCATTATGTAAATATAATTTCATTAATAAATCGATGCCATGATTTCTATTATAATCATTTTGTTAAATAATAATTTATAAAAATATAATATGTTTTATTAATGTTTCACTATCAATCATTTGACTATTTAGAAACTATTTGGTAAAAGTTTTTTTTTATAAAACTAAATATTTTATATTGCAGAAATAAATATGGAGATTCCAGTACCGAATCCTGTGAAAAAGGTTCCCATTCATTTACAGGTAAAATTATTTATTAGTAGATTAATATAATAATAAAATTCATTAAAATTTTTTTATTAAATATTATTGTTAAAACAGGACTAAATTCCAAAATTAAGTTAATTAAATAGACATATATTTTTTAAATATATTTATACTTCTATGGGTTAAATTTGTATCCATGTTAATAGTACCTACATGTAATCTTATAACTTACACAATAAAAAAACTAAACATATTTTATTCTGAAAATTAAAGAATAAATTAACAAAATATTTAATTAAATTAATTTTTAATAGTTAACTTAAAAATAGCCAATTTAAAATAAAGAACAAGCTTCTATATATTTAAAAATAATTTACATACATGGCATGTAAAAAAAAGCTTAAAATATTTTCTCACTTTTCTTTATTCAATATTCATTTCAATAAAAAAATTAGCACTAAAATATTTTTATGTATAGTTACTAATGCATGGGAGCATGACTACTCCCTTCTTCCTGTCACACCCTTCATAGTTTATTTTAATTATCATTAAAAAAGAAAAAAATTCAAAGTTATTTACTAATAGGATGAAAGTGTATTTATTATTTAATAATGTAGTTATCGCAAATCACAATAAATAAAATATAAATTAAACATGAACACCATTTATTTTTAAACTTCTATTAATAATTGTTTAATTGAAATTTAAAAATAATACTTTTTATTTTTAAGAATCATTATTAGTTAAAAATATAGTGGATAATATGTAATATTTATAGAGCTCACAAAATCGAGTCTTGATAAAAAATGGAAAATTGGTAAATCATGATACAATGGTTGATAATGATATATTTATTGAAGATGGTATAGTTAAGTGAGTATTTTTATTTTATGTAAACAAAGCTTTGAATATAATGGTTATTGGTAGATATCTAGAGCTTTATAATAAATAATTTATACACATTAAATATTACATGTATGTTGAGAGTATCTTACCAAATTTTTCTGAAAAAAAAAAAATTATTTAACTACATATTATTGTAGAGTTTTTTGAACCTGCTATTTTTTCTTATTACAAACATTTAAAACTTAGTTAGTTCTGAGAATAGTTTCTGAGAAAATGAGTTTCTTACCAGATTTTGATTTCCCTCTATAAAAAAAAATTGTGAGAAGGTTTAACTAAATCATATAGAGATTTTTTATGGCAATATTTTAACTAATTTTGATTGGGTAATGTTTCTAATTGGAAATATTCAATCAGTTTATTATTTATTATCATTAAAAAAAAATAATAATGAAATATATCATATTATCATTCAGTATTTTAAAATAAAAATTTGGGCATATTTGAATAAATAAAAATTATTATAGACATCTTAAGAATAGTAGGTTATAAATTATTGTTGCTAACAATTTTGAATTATTTATACAAATTGTTAAATTATAATAAAAAGAAAATAAAACTTTGTATATTTTTTATCTATTTATATCTAAAAAATGCTATCCTAATATATTGATATACATAACTATAATGATTAATTTATTGAATAATATTTGTTAGAATGATTGGGCGCAATCTTGTTATACCAGGAGGAACAAGAGTGATTGATGCTAGTTCAATGCTTGTTTTACCAGGTAAAATAATTATAAGTTTATTTTAAAAAAATGTATGCTACTACTTATTTTATATAATTTTGCTAATAATAACTTTATTATTATCAATGAATAAAAAAATAAAGTAACAAAAATAATATAGCTAAGAGGTTATGCTTTTTTTGCCAATGGATAGAATTAAGTATAATTATGTTAAATTTGTATATTTTAGGTTTGATTTTTTTAAATATTTTTTTCAATAAATATTTTACATGGATTATAATTGTTTATGAAAGAATCAAATTGTGTCTTGTAATTGCAACAAATTGCATAATTTAAGAAAAATGAATATCTTAATTCATCTATTATTAAGTATAATCAATGGCTACAAATAATCTGTATAAAATTCAAATCGTAGTAAAAAGAAAATCGAAGATTATTTTAGAGTAAATCTCTCAAAAAGAAATTTAACTAAATATCTTTTAAGTAATGTAAATGAATTTTAAAGGAAAATTGTGTATATTCTCTTATTAAACAAATCAATCATTCTATTTATTAAATAATTAACCAAAAAAAACTTTGGAAGTACATATAAAATACTTTTATTATTAAGTATGGAAAACAAAATTAATTTAGTTACTAAATTTTAAAACAACAAAAATGAGAATCATTGAAAATAATCCCAAAATGAGTGTTAAAAACGGAATCAAAGTTAACATAAAATTGATAAAAAAAAATGATAAAAAATTAATGTGTGCATTTTTACACAAATATTATCTATTAATATTTTTTTAACAAAGTTGTCAGTATAAACATAAAATTAAGTATCATAGGTGTATTCTAACACACCTTAATAAAAAACGGAAGTTATTTTGAATGACTTATTTTATTGTGTTTCATGTTAATAATAGTTTTTACTTAGTTAAAAAGAGTGTATTTTTTAATATTTTAACACATTAGTCATCAAATTATTATGAGATGAAAATAATTATTATTTATCATATTATAATGTAATCATAATTCATAAATATTTATTTACTTTGTTTTATAAACTTCAGCACTCGAACTGTGACAACTGTCCAAAAATAGTAAAGAATATACTTTAAGAATAAAAATTTGTATTTAAAAATGTATTGATTCATTTTAAAATAGTTTGATATTAGCTTTTTATATTTAATCATATATTACGTGATTTATGGAAATAAAAAAAATTATAATTAACTAACACAAATAATAATGTAGTTCAATTATGTTCATGTTTTTTAATTTTATGAAAATCTTATTTTTATTAAATGGAGATTTGGTAAAATTTATGAAAAAATACCTTCAAGAGAAAATATCTAAATATTTTAAGTAAATAGACAATTAATTTGTGCTAAAACTTAATGATTTAAAAATTGTTATAATCATTTTGATCTAAATGCATGAATTTTTTTGTTGCTTTTGTATAAAATGAATCCAAATAAGAATATTTCATTGGATAATTTGTTTTTATCTTCAATGAAAAGCTGAGAGGTATTTATTTACTATGATGTCTTTTTTTTTTTTTTTGTGTCTATCCGTAAAAATAATCAGTTCTCCTGAACCAATTTTAATCTCAAAAAACCTGATTTTAATCTAGTTGAATCTTTCAGCATCAAAAATTGAAATAAAACTTAATTTTAGAAATGTAGAAAAATAACTTTAAATTATATTATTGTAAAAAAAAGTCATTAAATACATTAATTTTAATGAAATTTATACTGACAATACTAGAGACAATAAGCTTTCTTTTAATATGCTTTTATGTAGAAATCCAATTAAAACCTAATTATAGGATGGGTTTAATAGAGACCCTAAATGTTCTTAAAAAAGATATTCAAAAATATCTGACAACTTTTAATCTATGTGAAATTTAAGTTTTTGAAGTTTACTACAATATCAAAAAAAAAAATTGTTCTAATGATTGTTTTACTATGAAATTTTGGATGTTAGATCCAACTATTGCTTACATACTTTTTATATAAATCTTATATAATTATAATTCTTATATAATTCAAAACCATTTTTAAAGATCATTTTGTCTTGGTATTGTTTAAAAAAAAATTGATATAAATTAATTGCCAAATAGTTAATAATTAACTAAAAAAAATATAACAAAAGTGTCTATGTCTTTAAAAATAATTAAATAATTTTTATTTAAGATTTATAGAAAAATTCTGTAGAAAAATTAATTATTTTTAAATTCACACATGAATTGTGGTAGTACAGCTTTGTTTATTTTTAATTCCTATTCTTTTCGGGTATTAGATACCAGATAACTTAAAGTGAACTGTTATTACTAGAAAAAGGACAATGAGAAACCACTGCACCTTATTTTCTGGTGTATTTTACCAAATCTAATAAGAAATTAAACAGATATGAATTGAAGTGTTTTATGTTAGTGATATTAATTACTATCGGTTATAAATATATACTTGTCTCAACTATACCATGTCCAGCTGTTCTGGATTTTTTATTTTTTAAACTGATACCCAAATACTATCAAGTTTGGAAAAATAAAATAAAAAAATTAAAGTAAATCATACTATTATTTAAAAAAATTCTTATTGTTAAAATATCCTTTTGTTTAATATTGTACTTTCAATAAAATATTTCATTTTTTATTTTATTTAAATTAAAGAAATTTTTATTTTTTATATTAAGTTAACTTTTTGATTTTGCATTTTAAAGTATATATATAATGATAGCTTAAATTATTTATTTTAAATAACAAGCTTTGCTGTGCAAATCTTATAAATTTAACAAATTATTCAATACATGCTTTTAGCTTCAATATGATTTTTTTTTTTTATGAAAATGACAAAAAAATTATTTTATTACAGCATTGATATAACTGTGTGTATTATATATTGCTATCAACACCATGATGATTGAAACATGCCAGAAGAACTCTAACTAAGTACGGTATTGCCATATGGGTTACTTAAAAATATTCAGATGAGTTATGGTATACAATAAATGCTATAAAATGATAAAATGCAAATTGAGTTTTATAATTAATAAAAAATAAGCCTAAGAAAAACATTTATAATATGACATACTAATTAAAAATAATAAATATTTAGGAAATAAAATTTTTAGTAAATTATAAAATACTAGTAAAAAGTATGTTATGATTTTTAAGGTTGCTAGGTTATCACTTAATTAATTGTGTTATATTTTAGCATATAACTATGTATCAAGATTTATTTTAATATTAAATATTCACTTATCTATAAAAACAAGGAAAATATAAAACTTAAGGGAACATTTTAAACTTAAGCTTCCATAAAGTTAACAAAAAAAAAAAATTAGTTCTATAAAAACATGGACGTCGCTATTTAGATAACTTATCATTTAATTATTTCTTAGTTGTGCTTTTATATGTAATGAAAACATTTAAGTTTATGCTTAAGCTATCAAAATTTGAAGGCCCTTGAATTAAAAACATGCTATTAATAAAAAAGTGTCAAAAAAAATTTTTTTGTTTAAAATTGATTTGCAAAATATCAAAAACCTCTCACTTTCTCTATATATATTTTCATTATTACCAATAATTTTAATATGTCATAATATAATGGGTCAATATATATTTAGTATGGTTTTTATAGTATAAAATCATTATAAACAGGATAACTCAAGAGGTAAGAGCTTAACCCCTATACAATAAATTCATTTTTTTTGTATATTGTATTCAAGGTAGCTAAAAATTAGTAAAAATTTAAAATTCCACTTGGAAATTTATTTTTAATATGTCTAAGTAAATAAAATGTTTTTTTTTCTTTAATATTGTAAGAACACAAATGTAATTCAAATTACCTATTTTTGATGAATGTTAAGTAATAAAATTTTTAATTTCAGGTGGTATTGATCCTCATACACATTTTGAACTTGAATTTATGGGAGCGATATCAGTTGATGATTTTTATCAAGGCACTAAAGCTGCTATAGCAGGGGGAACAACAATGATTAGTATGCTATTTTTTTTATATATATATAAAATTTAGATGGAAAACTTTGGTAAAAATGAAAACAATTTATTGATTTTAGTTGATTTTGTGCTGCCTAATAAAGATGAATCCTTAATTGATACTTATCAAAAATGGAGATCACGTGCTACTAATAAAGTTTGTTGTGATTATGGATTACATGTTGCTGTGACATCATGGTCAAAACAAGTAAGAGCTATTTATACTTTAATTTTCCTAAATTAAAATATTATTTGCTTATTTTTTTCCACAGTGTTACATAATTTGTTTAAATATTTTATTATTTTATATATTATGGTTAATAATTCATATTTTAAGTATTGATAGGAAAGTGTTACTTTATGTCACATCTAATCTGAACCCAAATAATTTGACTCCAAAACTTAAGATTATTTTTTTAGTTTGACAAACTGGAAATTCTATTAGGATTTTAGTTAAGAAATTAATAAATTTGAACATTTTATTTTGATTATTGAATAGTTTGTTATTATTATTACATTAGTTAAAATCATACTTACAGTTCATAGTAGCTTGTAAATAGGGGGTTTCTAACCATATATATTTATCCTTGCTATGTGAATAGTCCATGATTGAAAGTTTGTTACAATACTATTAAATATTATTCACAGTATAATACATAAATAGTATTGTAAGGGTTTACTTTATAAAATAATTGTTCTTTTTTATAAATCAAATAGTTTTTTTTATTATTGAATTGTACTTCTAATACTAAAAAAATGTAAAGGACTTGTTTTCCATCTGATTTCTTTAATATAGAACTATTAAATATAATTATTATTACTTAAAAATTATTTTTAACCCAACAAATTCTATAAATTTGCTTTAATTAAATGATAGTTTTATGTTATAACTTTACTTATGGCATATAAATAATTTAAAGACAAAACAAGAAATGGAGGAACTTTGTAATAAACATGGTGTGAATTCATTCAAAGTGTTTATGGCCTACAAAGGTGTTTTTATGTTGAATGATAGTGAACTTTACAATACATTTGAAGCGTGTAAAGAACTTGGTGCACTACCAATGGTTCATGCGGAAAATGGAGACATTGTACATGAGGTATTCATTATTTGATATTTATTTAGACTTAAAAATGAACAATTTGCAAAATATTGCTTCAGGTATCTAATATGTTCTGTTACTAATTATAATTCAGAGAAATCTACAATTTTTTATCAAAGCTTTTTTGAAAGCAATTTGGTCAGTTACAATTTAATTATTTTTTAGTTAAATATTATTTTATGAATTAAAAATATTAAAAAAAAAATTCATCTGATATTTTATTATATTTAATCCATATTTAAAAGTCTTATTACTTAACTTTGATTAACTTGAAAAAACTGTTTAAAAATACATGTCTAAAATATTTTAATGAGTATATTGATAGTGGTCAGCCGATTTATTCAAAACATAAATATATACAATATATTTTCATTACATATGTTTTACATCTTATTGATTTAAGTCAATATTTTTTTTGGAAATTTTTAAATTTTTATTAATTACAGATAAATTATATAATATTAAACAATTACCAACTAGACAAATTAAATCTTTTTTTATCACCAATTACTTTGAAAAATTTTTAAATCCAAACTTTTTTTGCCAGATATTTTAGCAATATATAAATTAATAGTAAAAATAAATTAATTGAAACAGCTTAAAATATTGTGTCTGTTGGGGAAACTAGAGCAAGTCAGAGATGTTATATGTTTATGTATTATGTATTTAAAGATACCGGAAAACAGTATTGACTGCGTTTCTTTCATACATTTGATTAATTTCAAATTATAAAATAAAACTCTTCTGAAAAAACAACTACAATGCTGTTGACAATATACAATATCTCTTTGTAAAAATTTTATTCAAAATTAATAGATATCCAATAAATTCGCAAAACACAATAATTTATTAGGTTTCTGGTAGTATCGACTACCCAATTATCTCATGTATGTTTTGGGTATTGTCCGAATTTTCAGGTATGTTCTTGTACAGATACAAGTACAAAAATCAAGAGCTTTACTATATATATTAAACTAATTTCTAGAATTCAATACGGTTGTTGAAGTCTGGTATTAATGGACCAGATGGTCATGCATTATCACGTTCAGAAGATGTTGAAACAGAAGCTCTTAACAGAGCATGTACAATAGCTAATCAGGTAAATTTTATAAACTTAATGGGTTGGAACTGAAAAAATTGATTTTCTGCTATTAGAATTCTCTGTTTTTTTATTAAATTATTACATGAATCATTATCATATTAATGTTTTAATAATTCTATATTTTTAAAGATTGTTTTGTGATGAAAATGTAGTATATGTTAAGCTATACTAAGACAAATATGTGGCTGTGAGAAAAGTAAACCTAAAATTTAAAAACAAATGAAAAACAGTTAATAACATTTAAAATATAATTATTTAATTTTGAAATATATCTAATATCACTGTAAACTAACATTAAAAAAAATGTAAATTAATTTTTATTCTAAAACTTTATAAAAATGGAATTGATTTTATTATTAAGTTCTCAAAATGTTTTTTTATGATTTGTAAAAAGAAATGTTTAATAAACAACAAATACTTATTAGAAACCTCTTCAAATCATTTTTTATGGAACTAAAACTAAAATTTTTTTATTTTGAACACCATTGATATATCTAAGCTAATTAAAGACAGGACTCTTTGAACATTCACAGAGGGTGACTTGAAGTTCTATCTTTTATATAATGATAGGTATAATGTAATAACAGTTCTATGATAACACTTAGATGTGTAAACCAAATCAAGACAATTCGGTATGAAGTTTGCACAATGACCATCAGGTCTGAGTTGCATAGGTATTGTGTTGTCCTCACTAATTACTAAAACTATCTAAGCTAATCAACCTAAATTGTGTTTTGAGAGTTAATATTTTTCTAATTTGTTTTATTGAGAGCAGATAAAAAAAAATAATTTTGTTGTTTCTATGCTTAAAAATAAACACTGTAACTGTGTACGTTATGTATATTGTAATTAAATTTTTTAGGTAGGATCACCTCTTTATATTGTTCATATAATGAGTAAACCAGCTGCTGACGCTTTGAAAAAACATCGCAATGAACAAATAAATCGCTGTGGAAAATCTAATATTTTTGGTGAAACATTAGCAGCTGCTGTAGGAACATATTGGGATAAAAATAAATTAACTTGTTGGAATGATGCTGCAGCTCATATCTTAAGTCCCCCTTTAAGGAATGATCCTTACACCCCAACATATCTGTTAGAAATGTTAGCCAAGTACGTTGGTGTATAGTAAATCAAATTATACTTAATTTTATTATTAATTATTATTTTTATGGGTTATTAAAAAATAAAACATAATAATTTTTTCTTTATTTATGTAGTGGAAATTTACAAACAACTGGAAGTGATAATGCTACATTTAGCTCAGAACAAAAAGCTATTGGTAAAGGTGATTTCACTAAAATACCAAATGGTGTAAATGGTGTAGAAGATCGTATGTCAGTTATTTGGGAAAAAGGGGTAGTATCTGGGCTATTGAGTCCTTGTAAATTTGTGGAAATAACAAGTACAAATACTGCAAAGATTTTTAACATTTTTCCAAGAAAGGTTTGTAAAAATATTTTGATTGTATATTTAAACAGAATAGTAAATATACTTTTTTTACATTTTTAGTTTTTTATGCATCATGGCATGATAAATTAATTCAATCTTCTTAACTTCTTTCTGGTTAATATGGGCCTAAAACTCTTAATATATTAATATTTTTAAAGCTGATAGTTTTAAAGTAATTTAAAATAAAATATAACTTAAAAATGTTGATTTTTATTCTCCTTTTACTCTTAAAACTAAAGTAGATTGAGTGAATTCATTAATGCAACAATGTTTCTCTTTTATTTAGTATTTAAAAAAAGCTCAGTTTAATTAAATTTAAAGGTTGCAAAACTTTATTTTTTAAAATATGAAATTTATGAGATGCTTAAATTTTGTTTTGAAAATATTTGTGTATTAAAAATCTTGTATTTGTAAATTGTGTGCAAGTTGTTTGACTTCTTTGATATATGGTTAATCTATAGAGTTATTTTATAAGTGAAATAATTTTTCAGGGTTGTATAGCAGTAGGTTCTGATGCTGATATAGTTGTGTGGAATCCAAATGCTAAACGTACAATATCATCAAAAACTCATCATCAAGCAGTTGATTACAACATTTTTGAGGTATATTATTTTTTTTTATTTAAAACAAATTTACCATTACTTGTTTAAAATTAAAATTATAGGGCATGGAAGTTCATGGTGTACCAGAATATGTATTAGTTGGTGGTCGAGTTTGTTTAGATGAAGGTAATCTAAAGGTTGTTCAAGGACATGGAAAATTTATCCCTACACCCCCACATGCAGATTTTGTTTATGGAAATGAAAATGTCAACGAAGAGTCTAATGATCAACAAGATTATCCACAAGATAATTTAAAGCCAACTGCTTTGAAAATATCTCCAGCTTCTAGTGTAACAAGTGAAATTTCTAATTGTTCAAAATCACCAATGATACATACTGGTAGAGCAATGCGTATGGAAGGGCAGCGAGACCTTCAAAGTTCTTCGTTTTCAATAAGCTGTATGATATTTTTCAATTTTTTTTATAATTTTTATATCTTTTAATATTTTTCAGCTGATTCTAATGATGTTAAAAAGTCAAGTATACGTGTAAGAAATCCACCAGGTGGGCAGTCAAAAGGTTTTTGGTAATACATAAGTTTTAAATACAAGTAAATAATTTTAATTTTTGCCTAGTCTATAAATAAATACTATAGGTTTAAATTCAAAAAAAGTCTAATATAAAAATATAAACGAACATAAAAACAATAACTTTATATGACTTCATATTTTACTATTTATAAAATTTTATTTGGACTTTCTGTATTTTATTTATAAACTAATGTTATCCATTTTACTAAAAAATGTATTGTTTTTTCTCATTTCAAGGATGCTTTCTAATTTTTATTGTTTAATTTAGTGTATTTATTTGTTATAGTTTATTTATTACATTCTTTTTATGAAATTTCCAAAGAGTACCCAAATAAGTTTACAGATATTATAACTTTAATATTAGTTTTATGCTTATATCTAGCATAATGTGAGTTTTTACTTTTGCGTTGTGAATTATTATAATAAAATGTAATACATTTTTATCACAAAAATATAAATGCTTTTTATTTTAAAATAATATTTGATTCATATTACATAAAGATTGCCAAAAATTGTAACTCAAATAAATTTTCAATATTTTCTTAGACAATTTTATACAAACTTCTATACCTGACTATAATTTAAATTTTATATCGAGGAATTTCAAAAATAATAAGCAAAGTGTCTTAAGTGCAGTCATTTTTAGACCAAAAATAACATTTAAATAATATATGGTTAGTTCACACACAAAATAATAGAAATAAAAATATGACAAGCATGTAATAATTTAATTCATTAATTAAAATTATAAATTTTACAGTTGTAAACTAATTTTATAATCAGTTTATACACTTATTATAAGAAATTAAAATTGAATGCAACTAAAATAATAATTATATAAATGTTTAGAATATATTTTACTTTTTATTCTAAAACTTGATTTGAGTTACAATTTACATAGTTTATTAACTATGTACAATTCAAAAAATTATATACATTTTGAGGAATTTATGAAATATAATACATTTCTAAGGTTTTCCAAATAAATTTGTTATTTAAATTGTTGTGGCTGCGGACCAAAAATACCTCCACTCTGTTTGTTAGCCATTCTGGAAGGTGCAAATCCCAAAATTTTTTGAATATTCTATTAAAATAAAATGATAATAATAAACAAAAATTATTTATGTCACAGTTATAAAACATTTTTTATTTACCTGTCGTATTGACATTGTACATAAAATATATAAAAATATAAATGAACATTCTGTAAAATTATCACCAGGTAAATTTCTATGAGATAATCCTTGAACCCATGGTATAGGGGTAAAAGGTAATTGAGCAACAACACGACCATCAAATCTATGAAATTTATGATAAATTAAATCATGTAACGTTATGACAAAAGAATTTTAAATTAATAAATTATATATTAATTTCGTAGATAAAGCAATCTTTGATAAATTTAATTACTTCAATAAGTATTTGGTGTACTTACATGCTGTTAAACATACTTAATAGAGCAGTGAAAGCAAATCCTATGGCAAACATGGATTTCATTTTCACCATAGATAAGTCACGATTATTAATTTTAAGTTTTTCTTCAACTCGTTCTATTTTTTTCTTTTGTTGTTTGTCAACTGAATCTCCATGAGCTTCTTTACGTTTTTCAACTATTGAAATAAAAGTAGATTTAGTACATTTTAATTTTAACCAGAAAAGAATTCAGTGTAAATTTTACATACGCTTTTTACTAGATTTTTCAATTTCTACTTTAAGCTTTTGATACTTCTCTGTTCTATATACTAATAACCATGTCAATCCTAAAAATACACAGAGGGTAATTAGAAAACTGTTAAATGCAGTTATTTTTTATTTCTAAACTTAAATACTAAACTTAGAATTGATAACATACATTTGCAGAATCTGTGGCATTTTGGTACATATAATATTCAACTCTATATAGGATACTCAACTTTTTTTGGAATAAAACAAAAAATAGAAATTAAAGATATTTGCTACCAAAAAACACTTATTATTGTTAAATAATTATTTTATGTAATTAAAACTTCAAATTTAAAAAGAAAAGAGTTAAATGTATCATTTGCCTCTATATTTATTTATTTGAAGTAATTGATGATAAATGGCTTTTTTTAATGAATAAATATTAATAAAACAAGTATGATATAAACAATCAGATATATAAATAAATGATTAACTATGAATGCTTAAATATAAGTACATAATGATAATATGGCACACAGACATTCAAAACTAATGAAAGAAAAAAGTATATAAATAAAAATGTGTAAGAAAAATAAAGATAACAAGAAAATTTGTCAATGTATAAAGTAGGCTGTTTCAGAAACTCCCTTTACTAGCATATGGAACAGATGATGCTAAGGATGATTATAATCATAGAAAGTAGTATGGCCAAGAATATAAAAAAATCATTGATTGTGAACATTATAAGAATGTTCTCAAAAAAAATATAGGATAGAAGATCAGATGCCTCAATAGAGCCATTCAATAGATCAATGAGATAAGCATCGTTATCAGAATGGGGGGAGAGAATTGATGAGATATTTTAAGTGTGTTGCAGGAACAAATATTCTTGGTTTGGTGTTTTAAGTTAAACTAGGTATAAATCTACTTTGACTATGCTCTAGGCATAGCTAATCTTTAGTGAATTACAGGTATCAAATGATAATACCATATTGAAATGAAGAGAGAAAAAAAGGAAAATAAATAGAATGTGGCAAACTAGACTTTAAAAGCTTGATATTGTGTTTTATAAAACAAAGACTTTATAATGCTTTACCAACTGTGATTTCAATGTTGTAATTTAAAAAAAATAAAAAGGGAAGTAAATAACAGGATCTTTTGCAATAGATAATCTCTGTAGGAGAAAAAAATGAGAATTTATAATTGTATATGGGGTATAAAAAAAGAAATATTACTATACTTTTAACAAGTACTTATTGAGTTACAAACATTTTTAGAGTGGGAATGAATTGCAAGTTGATACAACCTAAATTGGTATACATTTATAATACCCACTGTAAGTATTAAAATGCTACTAACTATAAAATAAGCATGTGGGAAAAATTTATCTATCCCTTAATGCCCTGTGAAGCATGTCCATTTTATTGTGATTTAAAAAATTGTATGAAATTACTCTATTATTTTAATAATAACTATCCTATTTTAACCCATGTTTCCCGATCTAACCACTTCTATACATATGTTTGAACTTTGTTTGCAAGAAAATACTCTACATGATCATTTCTCACCAACATGATTTCGAAAAATCAAGTTTTACGTTTGTTTTTTTTTTTTATAAATTTTAAATGAGCATAAATAAAATCATTTTAAATATACAGTAACAATCTCAGTAAATTTTTTCATATATTTTTGCATAGTGCCTAAAATGAATAAATGTTAAACATTTAATAAAAAGTCTGTTATCGCACTTCAATATAATTAATACTATCAAATTTGATTCAAATCATAGTTTAATTAAAATATTAAATATTTTGTAATTTCATGTATAATATAACTTTTTCAAATAAAGAGAATTTTATTATTGATTTTATGAGAATATTATTGGTTAATAAACAAATTATATACAAGAAAAATGTAAACAGATATTTTAAATTTACCAGATGAAAATAAATGACTTAATAAAAAAAAGTAGTAAAAATACTAATACCATTTTAAAGAAACAAACATTTGAATCCCTATCATCAAAGTTCAATTTTTGTAAATAACTCTGATTCTTGAATAGTTTTGAAAATTAAGGCAAAACTATTGTCAATAGATTACTTAATTTTTAAATTATGAAAATTTACCTTCTCCCAAAAGAGCTGTGCAAATAGAAATAAATACAATGAGAATAGTATCAGACCACATATTTACTTAATTAAATTACAAAAAGGAAACAAATATATTAAATAATTTGTATAGGACTCGTGTAAAATATTATCTTATTTTATTACTAAATAGTTTTTAAGATACTTGCAACTTAAACCACCACAATAAATTAATTTTAAAATGCATTAATTCATTCCCGTTTTCTGTAATCATTTTTGAAAAATATATTATCAATTGTCACAAATGATTACTTTTATTAGCTTACGTGGATACACAGATAAGATCTTATCAATTTTGCGAATCCAATGCCAAGGTAAATAAATCCACCTAACAGTCTATGCTATCAAAAAATTATTAAAGAGTATACAATTACAAAATAATAGAAATTTTTATCTTAATCGTGCTATTAATTACTGGTATTTACAATATTGATGCAATTACAAGAACTATCGATTCTATTTTTCGGTTTTCAACATTATAACAAAAATTCGCTTTTGACAAAAAAGGTGTTTACGCCCTTTTTACTTGTAGCAGTCAATATGTTAATAATATTAAATTAAACTAAAATTAAAAAGCTTCTGGATTTTATTTGTTCACAATTGCAATAATAATCATAAATTGTTACGCAAAATATTTTATATAAATTATACATTAATGAAAGACTGATGACACTTTAAAAATAACAGCACCAGACAGTGACAGTACCGTCACTAAATCTATTTGTTCATTTTATGCTGTTATTTTTAAAGTATTATCAATCTTTTATTATTGTATAATTAATAAAAAATATTTTGTGTAACAATTTGTGATAAAATAAAATACTATTTTATATTTTTAAAATAGTAATGCTATTTTTTTATATTATATTCGCAAACCGATAAAAAATCATACTAAAAAAAATTATTAAGATATAATTTCGAATTTTCAGGCTTTATGTATATATTTTTTTTATAATTAAGCTTTTCTCAGTTTTTATTGTGTAAAAATAATATTAATTATTAACAATAATTTCATAATTATGAAATTAACTAGAAAATAATTCCAGTAGAAAGTTTATTTCTGAAAAATTTCCATCAAACTCAAATTTAAAGGTTTATGAAAACGATTAAACTTGACAAATAAGGCTCTTTTTTAATATTATCAAATTAAATTAGAAAAGTTAAAAACATTTTTTTAATTTTTTGTTATGATTTAATTAATGTTTAATTATAGATTAATAATATTTTAAAAAACAAATTGAAATGGAAAAAATATAGATGGAACAAATTAAATGTTTAGTTGAAGAACTTATAATTTTTGTAACTTATGAGTGATAAGATTAAAAAAATTGAGGGAATTGTGTTATCTTTCAGTTTAAGGATCTTATAAAGTACCTGAAAAAAAATAAATGATAAATTTTTGATGTACTACATATAATAATTAGTTTTAATTACTTACTTTAACAAGAAAGCAGATTTTTCACAAAATTTTCACTAATGAATGATTTTGTCATTTGTAAAATGTTTTTGATATAAATAACTTTGGTCATTTAAATAGTAATTTTTACGTGAAATAGCATTTGTCTACTTTTTTCTCAATTCAGGATTTCATTAAGTAGCAATGAAGATTACATTTTCTAGTTACATTTTAGCTGTATATTTCACTAATTCTAGGAATATTTTTTCTCAGTGCAACATTCTACATCGTTTCAAATTAAAACTTGTTGAATATATAACTAAAAAAAGAAAAACGTAACATTAGTTTAACTTCTATACCTTTTATTTTAAAATCCACGTAATTCTTGGCAAATATGTTAATTTTTTTAATATGTTCAAATATGTACATTTTAAATTTTAATTTATTTAATCCCTCCTATACTTTATTTTTTAATTATAGCAACTTTAAATATATATATATATATAAAGGTTTTTGACCTATTATTTGATCAAACTTTGAACTTTAGACTTTCATAACAAAAAACCGTCATTACTTTAAAAATATTACTTTAAATTTGAAAAATATGTATTACATAGTAATGTACGTGTTGGTGGAGTTTTTAGTATTTGAGAAGATATCGTCATTGAAAGTTGAAAAAATAATTAATATTTGTTACAAACAAATATTGGATATTTTTGATTACTATGTCAGTTAAAAATTCGAAACGCATATAAGATTCTTAAAAGTCTTTCTATAATTATCGAATCATTTATCTTAAGATAAGATATTTGATAGACAAATTTTAATAAGTAACCATAAAAAAAATTTAAATAGTAAATTAAACTTAAATTTTAATACTCTTTCCTTGTTTAGAAATAACTTAGTTTTATCCATTTGGAATTATATTTTATTATAATACTAACACAGGATAAATAAGTACCAAATAAGTCCTATAGATAGCGGTAGCTGCGCTTTAATCTGCTCCATAAACAATGAAAATCACGATTTATGTTATACGTGATGAATATAGTCTCTGTCATCTGATCCATATCATACATAAATTTTAATCTGATCATAATCATCATTTGTCAATGCTTTATTCTAGGTGCTTAACAAGGTTTGGTTTTATTTTTATATTTCAGCTCGTTATCGCGTAACTGGTCGTATTTACCCATTCTGTAAATGACCGGTTTTGTAACGAGTCGTTAAAGAAATGAAGAAAATCATTGTCTGTAACTGAAACATGATAGGTTTTGTCAGTTTTACCGCTATTTAAAGTAGATTACTTACTTTAACCTATATTATTGTTAAAAAGCAAAGAATCGGCAATTTATTACCGTTTAATTTTCCGCCCCATATGTGTTACTTAACATGTTACATCATTCTCTTTTTAACTGAAGACTCAATTTAAATTAAGTTTTTTATAATTATTTTTCTTCTACGTGATAGTGGAAAGTATCAGCCAGTAGTGTTGTTCAATACTCAGTAGGTACTTTTAAATAATTTGTTCTGTTTGAATTGTGAATTACTAATTGGTGTGCTAATTTTAAAAATAATTTTTGTCATTTTTGATATAATCAACGAAGTCGCTTACTATACGTTGTCTTGTAAACTAATAAACCAAGAAAGTTTGAAAAATTGGTATACGAATTACAATTAGTTATTTTTTTACAATCCAAAAAATTAACTATCCTATGTAAAACAATAAAACATTCTTTAATTTAATTATTTTTTGGTATAGTTTAATTGTTTAAAATCAAAACTGTACTAAAAATATTAATTTCAATCTAAAAAATATGTTACTCAAATAGCCACAAAAAAATTGCGGATTTTGAACTGGATATATATTTTTTAAATAAAGATATTGAATAATTATAAATATTTAACAATATTTAATAGTGAGCTTATTGCTTATAAATAAAAAAAAATTGGAAAGAAAAGTTCAATAACCCTATTCTAGTTTAATTTGATCACTAATTTAAATTTAATTCAGAATTAATTTTTATAATATGTTTTAATATATTATTGTGAATATCCTTTTTTAAAGTTAATGCATACTTAATTATATTTTCAATTTTAAATATATAATGTATTCAACTTAATTTCTTCAACAACTTCTCACTCAATAAATTTCCTAAATTAGCTTCACATTTTAAATAATTGGAAAAATTTTATTTGTTAATGTATGAGTTTTTTCTTTGTTATCCCATGATAATTGATTTATTTTATAGAATTATTTTTTTAGAAATTATTTTATATTTTATTATATTTTAATCTGTTATGTATTGCAGAATCTAATTGAGTACATTTCTTTTGGGTTACAATTTGCATAATAATATGTTCTAAATGTTTGTATACATAAATTTTTATTTTTTTTAAATATTTTTACTGGTTGAAGTGGTTTAAAATAATTAGTTGAATGCTATCCTTCTATATCCCCTACACTTTGACCACTGAATGACCTAATTTTTAACTATAATATATTTAAATTTGAAATAGTATGTATATTATGTTATTATATTAGTGTGTTTGAAGTTCAAGCTATTATTTTTTACTATATACTTATGAATCATAAGTACATAATCTTATATAAGATAGAAATTATAATTGACATAAATTATGCATGGATAAAAATTTAACTAACTTTTACTAAACTGTACAAGACATTTTAATTGTTGTTAAATCTTTATATTTTTAAATATTTCCTTTCTTAGACTTGTGTGATGTGATACCGAGAAATAGGATTATATTGCCAAGATTAAATTTATAAATTAAGTTATAACCATAGTGCTCTTATTAAAATATTTCATTTTCTTGATTCCTACAGTATACTAATGATTTTCTACCACCAAAATAAATAAATAACCGCATAAATAAAGGGTGTTAATATAATTCAAACTTTACATTAAATGTACGTCTTATTCAGTACATTTTCAAAAAATTTTCACTGAGAGACAAAAATATTTTTTACTTAAAATAAATAGCCAATTAATTATAGTGTTATATAAAAAATATTTTGATAAATGTGAGCATTATCATTATCATCATTACTAAACATTATATGTCTGGCATAGGCACAAATTGGAGTGCTTCCTTCTAATTTAGTCAGAAAGAAGAAAAAGACAAAGTCATAAATATAATCAATTCGGCGATTAAATAGATTCACTGAGTGGCTTTTATATGTCCTCGTTTATTAGATTAAAAAATTGCATAGATCTTATTTGTTTTTGTACTAGAGATCTATTAATTTTCTTATTTTGAGTAATTTTATCACCATAAACCTTAAATCCAATCCATAATACGTTCTTCAAACTTTTTACTACATTTAAAAAATCATTGTATATTACAAAATATTTCAGATTTTCTATATATATTTGACTATTTAAACTCTGAGAGGGGTTAATATATCTCTGATATTATTCTCCTTGAGCGAATATGATAAAATTTAAAACTTTAAATTAAAACTGTCAGAAAAGGAAAAAATAAATATTTGTAACATTAAAATGGTGACTAAATTTCTTGATAATTTAAATGCTGTGTTTCGACTAAAGGAATTATTTGTTTAAAAATTTTACTTACTTAGTAAAACACACCCCTAAAAATTGTATCAACTTTAGTTTTTTAAATGAAAAATTTATTTTTAATTAGCTTAAATGTAAGAAAATTATTTAATTGAAAAATGAATGGTCGATAATAACTTTTGGACCAGTATTTTTTAAGTTATTAGCACTTTACCAAAACATTGGATGTGAAGCGCGAGTTTCTTTTACTTCTAGGCATTTATAAACAGTACTATTTATCTAGCCATAGTAAAATGAATTGCTAATATTATTTAAAATACTTATTTTTATATACATTTGATAAAATTTTGAGTTGTAAGAAGAGAATTCGATCATTAATTTTTTGAGTATTATAGAATGTAGGATACTGTTAACTTCTGAAAAAAAAAAATTGTATTTTTAAAGATACTGCGTGATTTGTAGTTAAACAGTCACCGTTTAAAATTATATTAAAATAAATTTGAGTCTAAATAGTTATGTAGTCAGAATTTTTTATTGGGTGACATAGTCAGGAAATTCTCTTATTTATCCATAATAAGTCCTCTTTTTGTGCAACGTATCATTTTAGAAATTATAGTCAATGAAGGGTCCATGATCTCTATGCTTCAGAAACTTGATAAAAAATTCATTTTTTATTTATAGAAGAAAAAATGTCTTATGTACACGTGTAACTATTGTATATATATATAATATTATATTATATAAAAAATATATATACATTTTTTTTTTTAAATAAATGATCTAATTTCGAGTTTTAGTATTTTTTAGCAAGTATATTTTTAATGCTTATTCGGGATTTTTATTGTGATACTTATCATCACTTCTCAATTGAATTATCTAAATGACAAATTAAATAATGTATACTAAAATGTATTCTATACACTTTTAAAGAAAACTTTTCACATCGTTCGGAAAATTTCAATACTTCGGCGTCTACATTTTTTTAGTAGATTATAAAAACTAAATAAATTTATCTATAATAATCATACAACAATAATTTTTGAGAAATGTTATTGTGTCATCAAAGAAAAATATTTCAATTTAGATAATTTTAAAAATGTTATAAATAGCAATTATTTTGAAGATTGATTATATCCATTTGATCTCTGATCCGATTTCATTACGTCATTAACAATACAATACTATTATTTAATCAAAATAGAATTGTTAAATTGTGTAACTACATAATTGATAAGCGAAAAAACATAATTAAAAAAATGTATGTTTTCAATTGTATAGTTAATATTATTTATCATTAAATTTTAAATTTGACATTTGTTTTATTTTTTAAAAAGGGTTAAATTAATGAAAAAAAATCATAATTACATATTTTTGTTTAAAACATTTTCTCTTATGACTAATAGGTAGTTTAATGGTTATAAAATTAAATGTAAAATAAACTCCACTAAAGATAATTGTTTATATTTAAAAACTCAGGGTAGGTTAGATTTAATGATATATTTTTTTCTTTAGTAATTTAGATACAAAATCTGTTATAGTACAATAAGAGTAAATAGATAAAATCTGATATTTTTATTTTGATAAATCTACCTAATTTTGGTCTAATTTTTTGAACAAGAATTATATAAACGCTATAACTTCCGGCAGATTCTTTAAAAATGTCGCTATTATTATATATTTCTGTCATCCTTCTCGCCTAATTAATTGTAACAATTGTAAGTCTCACATAGGAGAAGTTAGGTATAACCTCATATTAAATATTACATCATCTATTCTGTAAAATATGACAAAATTTGGCTTTTATGATACTAGGCTTTCCATCAGCATCATAGAGATGCTTTAAGAAGTGAAGAGAAAATATATACTGACTGGTATATATTTTGGAAAGGTGGTGTCCTGGACACGCTTATAGTCGCCATCCTCCCAAGCGATGAACTAGTAGTAACAAGCTAATCACCTATTTCTTTGGATATATGTGGCTTAATATTGTCTTGGAAAAAACCAACAGATATCAGTAAAAATAAATTCTTATGAGTTACACTAAGTAATTTATTTAGATATGAAATTATTCAGAAAACTTATATCTTATTCATTATAACATTACTACCTGAAATTTATAACTTTAGTGAATACATTTAAAATTAAGAAATACTATTATAGTTGACTCACGACAACATATTCATCAAGTCATAATTTTGTAAAGTTATATGCATTACCATGAAAATACCACCCATAATCTTCACAAATTTTGACATCTAATTAGCGCAGGTCTAAATAATTTATGTTTCTAATGTATATAGTATATAAAATATAAGACTAAGGTATACAAATTTGATAAGTCATTATTTATTTATTTATTATTAATACATTTTGATGTTTTACTTCACTGTTGTGACTAAAACTGTCATTATAATCGTCAATGATGTATAAACTATTTTATAATAGTCAAAAAATTTATAAAAATATGGAAAAATGTTTTTAGATATTTTATTTTGAGAGTTAAAAAAATATTGAAGTAAAGAAATATTTGTTTTAGATTTTATAGAAATTATGATTGAAGTTGGATCCATAGATCAACCAAGTTATTTGAATTTATATCTTAGTTTTT